TTTGGTATGCAGATATATCAATGGTAGGTGCTTATATATAAATGGGTTTGTAAAAGGGGGCGTGGCACTTCCCATAGGCGTGGAAAATTTTAACAGCTATAATTTCAAAACCATAAGTCAAATGAAATTGAAATTTAGTACGCACGCATGTATGGTAGGTGATTATAGTAGGGTATCTTAATATATAAAAATCCCGTGCCACTGTGTTCGTTTACGCTAATCTCCGAGACCGCCTAACAGATTGCAATGAAATTTTGTGGGTGTGTATTGTTGGTTCCAACTTAAAAGATAGGATAGTTGTGAACCCGAGATTTTCATCGAAATTTTTTCTATGTTCTCGCATCGTGCTTATCTAATATATACAAATCGAACTCTTCCTACACGGCTCGACCGATCTTTATGAAATTTTTGTGTTATATATGGTAGGTATGAGAATCGGATATCAAGCATATTTCATACCTCTAGGTCGAGGGGGCGTGGCAGCTCCCATACAAACCGAATTTTTCATACTGCATGTCCCGGAAAATCTTCATGGAATAGGTCTCGAACTTGCTATGGAGATATATGAATTGTGATNCTGCAAGATATATAAAACGCGACTGGTCATGAAAAAAAGTTGGGGCTATTGGAAAAAGGGACGTGGCACCTCCCATGGTAGATTACTCGAAAATGGTATAGAGATATAAGAAATCAATCCCATGCTCTTAGAGAAAATTGGGGCTAGTTGAAAAGGGGACGTGGCTCCTTTCAAACGCACTGAAACTATTATGTATCTTTGTATGCATGTACAGTTTTGCTAAGTTACTTAAGACGGCAAATATGCCTTCTGATAACCACCAAACCGTAATAATAGATGACAAATGCGTCACTAAAAATCATGAACGTGAAATCTTGGTGAAAATGTTGGACCAAAATGTTTACAAAAATTTTATTTTGGGCGGGACGAAGTTCGAGGGTCTGCTAGTTCTCATATAAAAATATATATATATTTCATGATCCTATGGTCGGATCTAGACCAGATTAGTATGGGACCACCTCTGAGACACTACCTTTCCGATGCAAAAAGAATCATCAGAAATCGGTTGAAGTGGTCCAAAGTTAAGCGGTAACATACATAAAAAAAATAAAAAATAAAAGAAATTTTCCGACGGGCTGATAACTTCCTCCTTTTTTGGAAGTCGGTTAAAAATAAGAATATACTTTTTTAATCAGAACGCAAGCTCTGATCCTACCTGCTACTGGAGCTGTTACCACCTGGTAGGCATCAGAGTTCAGACCGCAAACCTTGTTTCTAAAGATCCAAGGCTCTTGGTCTAGAATTAAGTCCTCAGCTTTTTCGCTGAGGAGAAGAAGAAGGGCAGCCGAGGTAGGATCTGCACCATCCTCAGAGTCGGTAATGTCCATCGCTTCTAGCGCCTCCCGTTCGGCGGCGGCAATGACTGTGACGTTATTATCCTCCTCCTCCAGTTCGGAGTCCAGAAGCTGGGCCTCATCCAGCATTGCCCACCGGCTGTATACCAACCCTACTTAGGCTGATACTGAGCCCGTGTCGCTCTCAGTATCTGACGCGGTATCGGATACACCCGTTCGTGGTGTTTCCTGTGGACCCGCGCTGTCTTCCACCGATGCCGACTCGGAGACACCAGGCCCGCTCGAGTCGTTGCCTGTGTTGTTGGCCCTTTCGTCGGTAGAGTTATCGGAAGGAGCGGGTCCGCTCGAGGCGTTGCCCATCTCCTCCCCTTGTTGGCGCGTTTATCGGGGGATTTTTACCGTGATGGAGTTAAAGCCGTAGCTTATTACCCCACCGCAACCCTAGAGAACTGGGACGGAAGCATCATTGATGACAAAGCCAACAAAACGCTGCTTCGCCTTGGTCTCGCCAACTCGGACTTTCCTCCAATCACTTGTGGGCCGTCCTTCGTTGCCCAGTCCGATAAAGTCCAGAATCTCCTCCAGCTTTGATGGTTCAGCTGGGACCCAGGCCCATGCTCGCGGCCTGTTAGGGATTTCATCTCTATGAACGGCTACTAAGTCTGCCTCGGGCCACAGCTGTCCAATTATGGAGATCGCTTCCTTGTAAAGCCGGACTGCGCGTTCATCCGCTCACGCCACCAGCTTTACCCGCCCGTGATGCCATGGGGGAGCCTTATACACCCTACATAGAGCCATTAGTACGGACTTCCAATTGTCCGTGCTAATGTGGCGGTCCGAATGGCCCTTATCCAACACCGCCAGCATGTGGTGCTCTTTGGCGGCCTCGCTGAATGGCTTCGTGGTGGACACGGTCACGGAGGGACTGTTAGAAGGAGAGGAAGTCCTATGGCTTTTGGATCGTTGTCTCTTGTGGCCTAGGTCCTTCCGTGGGTTCGCCTTAGTGGATGGTTTGTCCTTGCCCGGAGGATCGCTTGTCGCTGGCGGCGAAGACTTCCATTGCCCACTTGAGAGAGGCTTTTTGCTCTTCCGTCAGCTGGTCATATGGAATGACACCCAGCCTTTTAATGACCTTCGCTCTCGCTGAGCCCTGACGGAGGGCGGAATTATTTTCCCTGCATTGAAGCAGCCAGGGCGCCGATCCCGGTCGTTTTCCCCGGTTATTGGAATTTTACTCGCAGAAGTACAGGCTGTGTTCGGCTCCGTCGGTGCGGTTCCCGAGATGGTGGGTTTCTTGTACTTAACTTCGTCGTGTCCAGCGCTGGCACTACCCGTGCAGGGTTCCGAGGCTGCTTTATTTTTTAACATATTTCATCTGGTTCTTTGGCTGCCTACTAAGCAGAAGCCTTTCGGTGGCCGGAAAAAGGGAAAAGGGGAAAAACGGTCGATCACGGCAGAGCCCCATGCCGCAACAAGTCCACCGTTACTCCCGGAGGCGGAAAGGCGGGAGGCGCCGTTAGAATACAGTCGGAAAATCCCCTGACTGCAAACCGTCCAATAGGCACGGTGACGCATGACACCTTGGATTAGGAGGGCGTTTTATAGCTACCGCCAGGTACCCCCTAGAAATGGCCTCAGTATGCCCACCCCAGCCTCCCCAGAGCGAGCCCATCCGGTCCGCCACTAGACGCGGTAGGAGAGTTTATACCTCGGCCTTAGCTAGGCCCCGCCTGCTTGCACCACTGCGGTAAAAGGGCAAGCCCATCCTGAGCGGTGTAAGTAGCGATGTCCATTGCCCAGTCGGCACCCGCTTGGAGGGTATATCAAGGAGGATTTTCGCCAACCAAAAAAAAAGAAAAAAAGGCATATCTAAAGTAACAAAACATTGGAACTCTAAATTCAAGAATTTCCAAGAGCAGTATATTTGCAAATCATGCCAAACAAATCAAACGCAAGTATGAAAATAATTCAAAAAGTGAAAGAAGTTTTGGAGATAGTTTTAGTGACGTTGATTGTGATAGTGATGTTGAACGTGATGTCATAAAGGATCCAGATTGTGAAAACCCTAATCTGGATCCTTTTTGACATGATCTTCAACATCACTAACACAATCAACGTCACTAAAACTAGCTCCAACACTTCTTTCACTTTTTAATTTGAAAATCAAGAAAGTAAATAATTTACTCATCGGACTTGGGCAACCTCCTTTAAAAAACCACGTTCTGTGTGTATTATTTCTGAAGAACGATGTAGTTAAAAAATGGATTCATGATCTTAAAGTGACAATTTCTAATGAACCTTCTCGAAACCGTAAAATTTCACTTTTAACTACAGTTCCCGCTGGAGTGGAGCATTCGTCAAATGAAAGAAAATTTCAATGTATCGCGAAGACTGGCGCCAAGATCCTCCAACGTCTAATCCTTCAACGAAAATTGGTGGACACCTGGAAGCTGCAACTGTGAAAAAAAATTAAAGCATTTTACCTTTCTGATAAAAATAAGAGGTTGCTACTGTCTAATCTAAAAGATTAATATTTAAAATCTAAAGACGCTTCGCCGGATGTCAGTATATCTCTGTCAAATTTTAGACGAAACCGACCTCGTCAATGTATTTTAGCTGGACAATCAGGTACACATAATGTATGTATATGCAAAATACATGAGAACATCAGACTGCGATTTGCTGCTATTCGCCAAGAATTAAAACGAAAAGGTGTAAGTTTCGGTTCAAATTATCGTGCTATGTTTAATGAAATGCTATGCTACAATCCAAATGAAGATTGTTATTTGTCTGCTTGCAAGATCTACCCAGGGCCTTAAATAATTTCAGAAAAGCTAAAAGTTTTGCTTGAAATGCTTAGAAATGGAATTTCAACAGTGGTCAAGTACTGATAGGTAAATATTTATTAAACAACAAACTAAAAGTTTTTACATAACATATTAAATTCACTTCATAGTTATCATATAATGTATTATTATTATAAAATTTATTTATTTAAAGTGTTTGCTAGTATTAATAAGTAATTCATTTATTATAAATAAATAGTTATTAATGAATACATACGTTTTTATATTCTCCTAAATATTTACTATTTACTATTCTCATATGTAATTAATGAATGTGTATTTTATCTCATTCAGGTGCGAACTGTTGGTACGTTCTGTTGGAAGAGAAGAGTTTTTGGAAGAATTGACCAGAGATTTACCACATGTAGTAAAGCATGATTTTCTATCTAGTAGCCAATCTCCTGCTGCTCGCCCGTGACATTCGCGTCTTAGGTCGAACGTTCAAATTTTGAAATTACGAAATACCATTCGACTAAACAACGTTCGCCTCAGCTTTCAAAAACTGGTGAAGGAAATTTGTGCGTGGTGTAGTGGTAAGCAGTGCGCGCTTACACTCCGCAGCACCAGGGTTCAAACCCTGGTCAAAGCAACATCGCAAAAATATAGAAAAAAGGTTTTTTCTTAACAGCGGTCGTCCCTCGGCAGGCAATGGCAAACCTCCGAGTGTATTTCTGCCATGAAAAACAGCTTCTCATAAAAATACAATCGCCGTTCGGAGTCGGCGTAAAACTGTAGGTCCCTCCGCTTTGTGTGACAACATCAAGGCGCACGCCACGAATCGGAGGAGAAGCTCGGCCAAACACTAACATATGTGTAAGCGCCAATCTATTATTATTATTATTAATAAATAAAATAAAATCTAAAAATATAAAATATATGTTGCAAATTGAAATTAAAAGGTACATACATGCATATATTAATAAAAAAGGGTAATTTGTGCAAATATATATGTAAATAATTGCAGCATGAAGAAAACGAATGACCGGCAATTTGAAAAAGTGGTGCAAATGATCTGGGATAATCCAGATGTAGCTCGAGAACTTGGTGCTTTCGGGTCCAATAAAAAGGCTACAGCAGAGCTGTGGAAACAGCTATCAATCAGTTCAATTGAATGCACTTGGTCCACCAGTGCGTGATGGAAGAGGCTGGAATAAGGTAAGTCAGTGAATTACAAATCTCACTCTGGGGAATGCTGCAACCGCCTACATAAGCATTTCATTATTCATATTTTAAGGTATGGCTCGACTATAAGTTAAAGCTGAAAAGAAAAATAGCACTTAACAGAAGTGAGACCATCGCTACTGGCGGTGGACCTTATCGCCAGCAGACGTTATCACCTCTAGAGCAGGAGGTTACTCTCTTCTAGGCTTAGAAAGAGCAGCGAATCCTGAAGGCGTAAGTCATGGTGCCAGCAACAGTACCAGTGCTCCACTTGCTTCAGAAAATTGTACTGATGAGGAAAATCTTCAAAGCGAGGTTGACGCTAACCCTCGCAGGAGAGTGCGTTCGTCGGTAGTAAATGCGGATGTAAGGGAAAACGAACGAATTGAGATGCTGAAGCAGCAGTTGCTTAATCAGGAGGAGTTACTAAAAGTGGTAAGAGGCCTGGGTGAAAAAATGCACGACATTGGAAGATATGCGCGGAAAACTTTTGAAATTTTGAAACAAAAAGAAGCTCGTGAGGAGAGGGAACACTTCGAACGGATCCAACTGCAAAAGCAAAAACTCGAGATAAAGCTCCGTGAGCTTGAGTTGAAAGAATGAAAGTATAAAAAGCATTTATAAAAAAATTGTACTTAAATTATAGGCTATTTTATTTAACAGTGTTGAATTAAACCAATCCAGTAATTTTAAGTTTATTGTGATTTTCTTCCAATATATCGTCACCTAAAAAACAAAAAGACGTAAAAAACATCGTTACTGAAGTGGAAAGGGACGTGACTAATAATTTTTTTTAATAATTCGATGTAGGGAGTTGCGATGAAGTCCATCATATCAATCAAAAAGTGAATTTTGAATTTTTCATTAGTTGCGACTTTTTGCATTTCAGGTGACGATATGTAGCTTTTTATGCTATTTATCTTGCATTAAAAATTAATGAAAGCTGCTGGTTAGATTCCGTTTTTATACCTTTCATGAGCATGAAATGGTATTATAACTTTGGTCCGATGTTTGTAAGTACCAAAATAAGAAGAGATAGACCCATCAAAATGTATACTTAAATGATCAGGACGTCGAGCTGAGTCGATTTAGCCATGTTCGTCTGTCCGTCTGTCTGTCTGTCTGTCTGTCTGTCTGTCTGTCTGTCTGTCTGTCTGTCTGTCCGTCTGTCTGTATGCAATCTAGTCTCTCAGTTTTCGAGATATCCGGATGAAATTTGGTAGGTGGGTGTATTTTTATAATGTATTAATCATTTGTCGGAACTGGAAGAATCGGACCACTATAAGATATAGCTCCAATACAACTGATTGTTCAGATATGAGATTTTTCGTTATAACTTTGTTATGGTTCCCATTGACTGTTGCAAGCATCACCATATTACATGGCTTAATAGGCAGGATTGTCTGTGAATCGGTTCTTGGAATACGTCGTGTGCACTGGCATTCGTGCCCGGAGCTTCAGTTGCGTAGGTTCCAAATACCGCAGCCAAAGAACCAACAATCCTACCTTCCAGTCAATAGTCCTAACGAGAAACTACTATCTTTGCACACACTGGGGATACTGAACCTGAAAAATACCTAATGCCACACACTCAGCGACCCTACCCTTCTTTCCTTCCTACAACCTACTAATGCCAAGCAGCACAATTATGGGTTAGCTGGCTGCTTCTGTACCCACCCTACCTCGGCTTTTTCGTTGGTATTAAAGCCCCAGAGGACCGCCTACATATCCTTCAGAACCAGACCAAACTTAACCTTTTACAGTTCCAGAATCATATTCACATTTATTATTATATTCATCTTATATCTAATAAAAACAAACTAGATGCGCTAATAATCTCATTGAATACTATCATACTAATATACAATTATTTAAGACCTAACCTGTTCCACTAAACTATCGTTGTTAAATTATTTGTTCTTATTCTTAATACTTAATTCAATTTAGATTATAACAAATTTTAGTTATTTGTGGAATAAAATATTTGGTGCTTAAGACTTCAAATATTGTAACACCATTTCATTCTTGCCTTAAGTATGCCAACTATACTTCGATTCAATTACTTCTATATGATCGTCCTAATTAATTTTATGAACCCTAACCTACGCAAACAGTAAACAATTGTAACCTCGGTTTTAGTTCAGATTATTATTACTAATATTTCTTTTTGGGTGTATAAGCAAAGTGAAAACCACGACCTACCTCAACGGCGATCAGCATATAGGCATGGTGATTGACCTACTCTCTATTGTACATATGTACGAGTATGTACATAAGTAAGCTGACCGGTGAGCAAAAAAAACAAAGGTAGGTATATATGTAATTTTACCGGTTGTGTTTGCGAATATTATAACAAACAAATTGAGCAAATGCAAGTGAGAAACTATAAGAGATAGAAAACAAGAAATAGCAAATAGTCACAACAACTTACATTGATCGCCGCTGGTGTCTCCCACGCTGCGTTGAAGGCCTCCACCGCATAGCTGTTGTCTCGCGCTGTTATTCTTGGAAAAGAATTGTTAGTGAGTATTTTTCCCCTTGCTTTCTTTCTCCTACCTTCCCAACTTTCTTACTCCTTCCTCTTTCTATTTTAGAATATATAATTTAGTAAAATACATAGGTTATTTTGTTCAAAATATAACTCTTAGCCAATCCCAAAACTTATGGAAAAGGATTGGTCAAAATGGGCATCTAAATAGTTACCGTGCCTATATCAGTATAGTTGAAGAGAACAGAAGCTTAGAGCAAAAAATGGAATGCTATTCTCTCATCTAATGCATTGTATGCATTGTATAAGCTGATGATAATTATAAAACGATTTGAGATGTGCATGCAATAAGAAGAGCGCAAAACTAGTATTGTTGGCGCATGTGGCCATTAATTATTTAATTATGACGTTTAGGGCGCTTCCTCTACCTGTCTTCTTGCTCGTGCGTGAAAATGCAAAGTAGGTTTTATGAAGAAATTCTAAGGCTGGAGACTTTAGAAACTATTATGGGATTTCAGAAATTTTAAAACTGGTTAAATAAACTAAAAAAAATAAAAAAAACTGCGATGCTGCCTGTGATATAGATTTTAAGAAGTTAAATAAATTTTTAGCGAATTTAGAAAAATGTACATAATTTTAAGTATGACTCGAAGATATGGTGAGTAAGAAATATTGCGACAGACTATTCTGGGATATATTTTATGCGATGCGGTAGTATATATGTGATACTTTGTTAGATTAGATGCGATGATATTATAATAAAATGCTGCTGTTATGCCGGTATATGAGAACTGCTGTGATTTTGTTGTAAATGAGATGGCTGGTTAGATCAATAGAGTAATGAGTCGTATAAGATGGCAGACTTGTTGCGTGAACACTGCAGATGGTGACAAAAGGTGATATATGCCAGTATAAATGGGGATGACGGTTAGTAGAAACTTTTTCCGAAGATTGGGTATAAATTTGTTGATCGTTGAAACTCAGAAGGGTTTTCAACGGGACCACTTGGCCGCTTTTTGCAAGGACCGCTGTCCCGTGGACGTCTAGTACCCGCAGATCGCACTGCCGCAGCGGTAGATGCTAGAAGAATAGTACGTGTCAGTTTAACGCTTCTCTATTCTCGCTAAACTGTTTGGTGGGAAAGCTTACCGGGATCGTTATGCAAGGAGGGCTAACGATACTTTTGGCCACTGCCAAGCAGCGTCTAACTCCGTCTCGTAGACTGAATATGTGACTCACAATTTATGGTTTAACCGCGTTTATTGAAAGTAAAAATGACTTTTAAATTCCGGGGAAAGATAATTGATAAATTTAAATGAAAATTATTAGAAGTTCTACACGCTACTCATGTGTTGTCTTTATTTAGATATTGCACCACGTGCTACGATGTGAATTGATTGAAGTCTGCGAACAGAAAGAAAGACCAACTCGAGCCGATTTAGGACCTCACGGCAAGTCATATTATGTGGTTGATCGATATCTTATCGATAACCCTGTATTTGACATGCATGATATTTATCGGCTGTGTTTAGTAAGCAGCGGCAAAGAGATGTTTGTGGCAAGAAAGAACTTGCAAGCAATCATGGTTGAAAACCAGAATAAATCTATTGAAAAATATAAATAAGGTAAGTTATATACATAAATAAACAAAAAAAAATTACCACGGAGGATTTAATTAACGTGAAATCTAAAGCAAACAAAATTGAGAGCAGTTAAAGTAGTAGGTACGAAAACTAGTCATGAACGTGAGTAGGAGAAGGAAGTTTAAATCCTACATAAGTACACCGGTACACAACCCCCCAACTTAGAGTGTTGGTGCGGTATCTACTATCCGCTGTCTTGGATGTCTTTTCTATGAAAAATTTCTCTTTTCCCTGTTTTCTCGTCCTTTAACTCGTACATACAGTTACCTTTTAGCGCCATCACCTTAGCTTTTATAAATTTTGGGGCCAATTTGGCACAGAATTTCTTCGTGGCATCGCTCAAAACGAAATTTCGTCGAAAGACAATGTCGCCTACCTTAAAGCCTTTAGCATTGCTGCGCAAATTATATCGCTTTGAAGAATTTTCAAAGGCCTTCGTGATGTTTTCGGTAATTGAACTTCGTATTAATTGCAGCCGGTCAACCCTGTTCAGTACGTTGTCGTCCAAAGTTGTCAGCTTCCTAAGTAACTCATACTCACTTGCGTGAGATAACATTTGTTGACCGAAAAGCGCATAATAAGGCGAACATCCAATTGTTTGATGGTGTGAGCTCCGTAAGGCTTCAGAAATATCAGAAATATTTTTATCCCAGTGAGTTTGGTCCTGCTTTATGCGTATACCACGTGCCGACAAAAGGCTGTTAAACTGCGAGGACTTGAATTGTTTGCCATTATCACTCATTATGATTTCGGGTGTTCCGAAAATATTAAATACGTTTTCATGTAGAAAATCGCATATAGCTGACGTGGTAAATTTTTTGATAAGCTTCAAAAGGGGAAACTTTGTCAAATGATCTAGGACTATAAAAATTCCTATGTTTCCTTCCTTGGACCTTGGGTAAGGACCAAGCAAATCCACATACAATTTTTGGAATGGTCGTTGTACCATATATTGTGCGGACATCGGTGGCCTTAACGTAACGTTAGGCGCTTTGCTTTGTCGACATACCTCGCATTGAGCAATATAAGTTTTGACGTCGACCGTCATATTTGGCCAAAATAAGTTATTTCGCAAGCGCTCCAAAGTTTTTGCTATGCCACCGTGGAATTTATTGGGCGGACAATGGGCATTTTCGATGACACAACGGACTAAGGATTTGGGAATCCAAAGTTTCCAATTGAATGATTCCCTTTCCGGATGGCCATCTGGATATTCAGTTCTCTTTTAGACATGGTTGTCGATTACTTGCAAATCAGGCAATCGGTTTTCATTTTCACGGACATGACATATCAGCTTTTGATATTCTTCGGACAAAAATTCAGGCGATTGTAAATCAACTAACGGACGGACTTCTACTTCGCGGACTTCAGCTATCTCCTCAAAATTCTGTCGCGACAGACAGTTAGGCACTACATTTAGTGAGCCCTTTTGGTGTTCAATATTGAATCTAAATCCTTGCAATTTAAGGGACCAGCGAGCTAGTCGGCTAGACAAATCTGTCTGTCGCATTAGCCATTGCAGACTTGCATGGTCAGTAACTATAGTGAAGTCCTGCCCCTCTACATAAGCTCTAAATTTCTTTAGGCTTAATAAGGCGGCAAGACATTCGAGTTTTGTAACACTATAGTTACTTTGCGCTTTATTAAGTTTCTGCGAAAAATACGCTATCGGGACCTCAATATTCTCATCGTTCTTCTGGGACAGTACCGCACCAACACCTAGTTTGCTGGCGTCGCACTGAATCACAAATGGTTTGCTGTAGTTTGGACTCGCAAGTACTGGAGCAGAGCACAGTTTAGTTTTAAGTAAGTCGAATGACTTCTGAGCCTCATCGTTCCAAT